ACTTATATTGCAGTGAACAAGAACACCAGCGGGGAACAATCGAATGCATTTGACACAAAATTGCAGGACTTGTTAATAAAATCTAACAATCAGATAGTAAATACGTAATTTGCAAAATGTCCATGAATTGTTTCATAATGACTAAGACTTCATTGTTCTTGGATTTTCATACAAATTGCATTCTGTTCCCATTCTTTACTGTTCGATCCTCTTGTCTCTCTGATGCCAGACATTCTGTTCACAACTAACATCATATACTACTTATGTCGATATAACTAGCACACATCACAATATGTCAATATTTTAAAATTAAAACATTTTTTTATCTACTGTACTAAATATAATGAACAGCATTAGTTCACGTGAGTTTAAGTTTAGTAGGGAATAAATGCATATTTGTGCATGAAGTATTCAACTAGAAAGGAAGGTCCAGGACAAAGTGGGTTGGAGAATACTGGTCAGCGGCCTATGCTCCATTGGGAGTAACAGGCGTAATTAAGTATGCATGAAGTATTCATTGAACCATACATACCATGTATGAGGATATTTATTAATACATTTCCATATATATATATATATATATATATATATATATATATATATATATATATATATATATATATATATATATATACACTGAAATAATCACTAGGACACGTTATAAAGATTACTATCATGTATAAATTTTGAAATTATAGAATGTTACAAAAGCCATAATAATAATAATAATAATAATAATAATAATAATAATAATAATAATAATTATTATTATTATTATTATTATTATTATTATTATTAGTATACTGATAGTATTCAAAGTATGTACAAAACGTATAAATATCACAATAACATTCTCTCTTTATTTCCTGTCAGCGTCTATATTAAAAGTCATATAACAAATCATAATAGAGAAAATGATAATTGTCAAACTAAACTAGATTTATGAATGATGCTAATGATGAATTAGGTTGATAGATAAATCTGTAAGTAAGCATGTATATGAATAGATAGATAGGTGAATGGTGTTGTGATAATATAAATATGTCAGTAGAATAAATAAAAAAGAGAATATATATATATATATATATCAATTAATATGACTTGTATGAACTCATACATGAACATATGTACAATAACACTATAGAAAACTAATGCATTAATATAAGACTTGTAAAGAATATTAATATCCTATCTGATAAGCTATGCTCTTGAATGATTCTTTCCCAAAAAGCTGAACTGAGCAATTGCTAGATTAAGGCGGGGAATAAGGAAGATTAATAATAATAATAATAATAATAATAATAATAATAATAATGATATGTACATGTGATTAAATGAATCTTCATTTATAATTGTCCGGATGTGAATATGTGCAAAGGAATGTAAAGTAGCATAAACAAAGAGAGAACCCATTTTCAAAAGATCCATTAATTCACAAAACAAAAAATAAAGAATAACGAAATTTCTGTTGATTGAAGTCTAAATCCAATAAACCCCTATTGAATATGTACTGTTATTAACTGTTCAACAATCATGCAGGATGATTAAAATAATTATTCAACTTAATTTTTGGGGAAATTTCCAAAAAAGTAATATCAGTTTAGAGTAAACATTGTTGATAAATAAATATTGTATTTTAATGGTTGAGATCATGAGTCAATTGAAGCTAAATCACCATGGAAAACTTGGAGGCACTGGACGGCCGTTTAGTCCTATTGTGGGACTTGTCAGCAGTGCTCATCCATGACCCCGCGTCTCGAGATCTGGACTCAGGACATATCAGTGTCGCGAGTGAGCGCCTAACCACTAGACCACTGAGCCGGCCGAGATCCAACTGTGTTAATGTCTAACTTCAATTATTGTATTCTTTAGAACCTGGTTTTTTAATTATGTCAACTGATTGTAGTGTTTAAATAATCAGTAGAAAACGAATTTGTTGTAAGAACATTTTGTAAACAAGACCGATGATTAGGAATAACATTGAATCTAGACGTCTGTTGGATGAATACTCAGATGATATTAAAACAAAATTAGGTATTCTCACTTGAGATGTATACACATGTATACTCATTTGTCCTATAAATATGTGAACTGAGAACATAAAAACCTAATTCAAAGTATGTCACTTTTATCTCGTTCAAAATACTTTTCATTTTGAAGCATTATAATTGTTCAGTTCTCACCTTCGTTGTGTAAAAAATTCATCAAAGTTAAGTACTTTAGTTACATTATTATTTCATGTGTCATCGTCTTTACATTCTTAAAATGTTAGGCACGTATGACTATTTCGCATTCTGTGAAATTTCAAATAGGTGAGTAGATCTGATGAGTAAGGAGAGTGATCTATACTTCTGACAGAATAACGGGATCAAGAACCATTACTTAGATGGACATATTTATTAGAAACATACTGTTACAAAATGAAGTAATTACTTCAAATGGAAAATTCTATAGTGAATAATTTTCAATTTTCTTATATGAACAAAATATTCATCTAAAAGGCCTTAGGTCAGTTACATATGAGAAATATTCTGCTTTCTTCTTCGCTTGTATTATTTTTTTAATATTCGATTGTGTAATTTAATCTCTTTTAATTGTATGGTATCCTAATTTAAAATTAAAATAATTATTTGATTGATTTCAACAATATTGTTACCACAGTTTTTTTTGTTGTTGTTGTTATAGCGATTCAACGATTAATTTTTGAATGCGCGCAAATTAAACAAGTTCATGATATATTTGTTGAAGAAATAAAGTATTCATAATGATAATATGAAAAATAAATGTCAGAAAAGAGTTCATTTTTAAAGTTTTATAAAGAAATTATTATCTTCACTTGGTGTTGTTTTACATGTATCTTCCTATTGTTATTTAGTACTGCAATTGATCAGTCTCTTCTTGGTATATATGCATCCTGTGCGGATTGCCTTGATATTGCCTAAAATCACAGACATTCTAAGCAAAGATCGATGTTGTCTAGTAGTGGAATTCAGGACGTGTGTTTCATCCTATTTTGAACTCGTCAGCTGGATATATCTGCATCCCACAGTTGATTTTCTCTCCGGGACTCTAACCCATTGCCTTTCACTTTAAACACCATCGTGTTATTCACTTAACTACTGAGTCCTGATAGTCACCTGCTTGTGCAATGGGGTGAAGCTTAAATTCACTTGGTGTTGTTTACATCGACTCTGAAGTGCAGGTACATCTAGCTGACGCGTCCCAAATAGCACGAAACGTGCATCAAACTGGATTCTACTGCTAGCCACTATCCATCTTTGCTTATAAATAAATTATTATCTGTTTATATAATTCCTGAAAAAACAGTATAAGTAGATTTACGTGTTCATTGTTTAAATGCATAATGAATATTATTTTTACAACTATTTCTTTAAAAAAGAAAATAATAAAACATGAATTTTCGAATCATTTTTTAAAATGATAAAATTGAAATATCTGAATAAAAACAAACAAACAACAAACTATCTGTTAATACACTTCAAAAATTTCAACTATTATATGATTGGTTACTATTCTCATGTCTTCATAATGAAGAAGAATTATAATCTTTCCATGTCAGTCATTTTGATAGGGAATAGTCAGGTATACGATAGATAAAACTTGAGATATATTATTTAACTGACTTGTGAGTTAAATGTTTTATGTCTATATATAGAATCTCGAAGGGGGCGAGGTCGTGAGTGCGCACTGCTGAGGAGTCCCACAATAGGACGAAACGGCCGCCCAGTGCTTCCATGTTTTCCATGATGATCTAGCTTCAACTGACTCATGATCTTGACCATTGAAATTATATATAGATAAGACAAACGATACTATTAGGTTGTTCAAATCATTGTAGGTAAAAAAATTCAACTGCTTTTCCGGTAGTTGGGCGATTATTTGGTTCTAAAATTCGAGCAATTTCAATAGTATTAAGTGGTTTTCTATGTAAATCGTAGATGAATTTTATTCTATATTTATAACTCATTGGTACTGAGATACTTGAGCAATTTTAATTTCCATCAAAATATTAAAAATACAGTCAATGTAAATCAGTTGAATATAAATGTAACAAGCTTAATTGAACAAGAATATTGTGAATTTACAGGGTGTCTAAAATTCACTTAACTCCGTCTGGAGCCCTTCTGGGGCTACTACCGGTCCCAAGCCCGGATAAAGGAGGATGGTTGGGCATATTTATAGCCGAAGAACATCTGCAACTCGAAACAACTGTCTGTCAGCCAACACCAATGTCACAATTTTCAATACAAATGTCAAGACAGTTCTACTGTTTGGGGCGGAAACTTGAAGAACTACGAAAGCCATCATTCAGAAGATACAAGTGTTTATTAACAGTTGTCTAAGCAAAATACTTCGGATCCGTTGCCCAGAAACTATCAGCAACAACCTACTGTGGGAGAGAACAAACCAGATCTCAGCGGAGGAAGGAATGAGGAAGAAGTTCTGAAAGTGGATAGGACATATATTGAGGAAAGCACGCGACTGCGTCACAAGACAAGCCCTCAATCGGAATCTTCAAGGTCAAAGGAGAAAAGGAAGACCAAAGAACGAATTACGCCGAGAAATGGAAACAGACATGAGAGGAATGAACAAGAATTGGATGGACAAAGTGGGTTGGAGAATGCTGGTCGGCGGCCTATGCTCCATTAGGAGTAACAGGCGAAAGTAAGTAAGTAAGTAACTTTTAAATTGAATTGCATTCAATCAGAGTGTGGGTTTGTCAGAGTACGGGAATTTAGTTGTGGCTAGTATCAGAGGTGTTGAGTACCGGCCCGGTGGTCTAGTGGTTAAGTTTAAGTATCAAAGGTTGTTACATAGTGTCTACTAGTAGGGGAAGAAAGCAATTCATTTCTCGACAAAAACGCTGCATTCATAACAACCAATGAAATACTTTTATAATTGAAAAAAAGAAAATCCAACTTAAGTTAATTTAAATAAATCGAATAATATTTCTAAGAAATACATAGATATAAACTTACATTTGACAGTCAACCGAAATTTTCTTGTAATCATTGGTGGGATTTGATGATAATTGTTCATTGTTGCTCCTCCTCCTCCTCCTCCTCCCTTTGCTCCAGATGTAGTTAATCTTGTTCTTACAGTACATTGATATTCTCCGTTGTGATCTAAAGTCAGTTTATCAATACGTAGTTGTGATTCATGAAATTGACTTAAATCAAACTTATTATTAACATTATCATAATTGTTATGAGAAACTGTACCAACCACAGATGGTGCCCGAACTAGAAGACGTTGTCTATGAATAATAGTATTTGATGCATCTGATCCACTATTGCTCGCTTGTTTAACAGATCGTAAATTATTATTCATGTTATTGTTAACATTACTAATAAATTCCCACTGATAAATTAAGTTGTCCAATGAACCGTCAGTTCCAGTCATAACAGCATCACAATCAAAAATAATATGATCACCCCATGATTTGGTTGGGTTCAATTCTCTATCTGTCAAACTTGTCAAAAAACATGGTCCTGTAAAAAAAATTTGATTTATAAGATAAACATGAGTAATCGTATAAATAGTTGATTACAAAAGGGAAAAGATCACAATTTTGATGTAAATGAAAAACATTTAAATAATACGTTGACATAAGCTACCATTAAGCAATGATATCACCTGGAGAAGAATCATTAAAAAGCAGGGATACTAGATAGCTGCTTAATTTTAGTTTGGGATATCTTAGCAGTGTACACTCAAAAGCATGTTAAAAACTATCATCAGTACATTTAGATATCACGGCGACTACAATGCCATAAGCCTACTGTGCTGGAATCCATCAGTCCGAATTCGGTCTTAAAAATTGGAATGACAACACTGACTTATGTTGGACAGTTATTCGATCGTTTTCCAGCTGTCATTAGTCCATGATGATAACTCATCTTATTACTGATTCAGGATTGAGATCAATTAGAATTACTTTCTTACATGTACATTTTATATTTTATTCTTATAGTCACCTTTTTTCTTAACAAATCCTTTATCCTCTGTTCAACATTTAAATCGTTTATCTCTGAGTTCTTGTTTAAAGCATATCAGTAGATGAATCTCCAAATAGGGTTTCTGAATGCTTCACGTTTACACATAATAAATAAGATTAATAATCAAGCAATGGATTTCGAATGAGTGAACGCTCCAGTATGGAAACCAGGTAGCATGTTAAACGTTAGGATCACAATATTCAACAGATTAAAAAGACAACAATAATTTATTTTCAGTAAATTTATCCCAAATTCTATTTTGCCTATTCAAAGACTTAATTCAACAAATTCAAGAGGAAATGGGGTTTTCTCCAAACAAAAAAGTGTTGATGGAATGCGTCTACACGCATTGGAGAGAAAAAAATAATCAAACGAGTGTATTTACTTCATTTAATATCAAATGAATAACCTATTTGAGTTAATGGACAACAAACCCAAGTGATCCAATACAATTTTCATTTTTAAATGCGCCCATTAACAGATTAGAATAGTTCATTTTTCTAGAATAAACTCAAAAGGAAAAGATGCTTAAGTTTACTTGTGTATGTATAGGTATACATGTGTGTGGATCGCGAAATAAACCAATGAAGAAAAAGCAACATTCACATTTGGAAAAGAAAGATGAATGTTCCTTTTTTTTCTAGGAGTGTATATTTGAAAGTTTACGATGATCAATTGCTGAGTAGTAACCAATGTTATGTTTATCTAGTTCTAATAGTGCTGATAGAATTCTATTGATCAAATTACAATGTAGCCACTAATATGAGTGACTCAACATCACATGTACGATGCTCAGGTGTTAGATCGTTGAAAGTAGCCAAGTGAGTATCCTGTATTAGTCTAGCTGTCATTCTAGTTTGGGCATTTTAGTGAGTCACAGCTGAGATTTCAGGGAAATTACTCCCTATGTGAGGTTTGAACCCCTTTTACCTAGTCGCATGGTCTCAGACGTTACCAGTAAGCTACTCAAGCTACAACTGGATTCCTGTAGGATTGATATATTTACACTGCATTAGTAACTAAACAGGAGTTAATGTCATGTTTATTTAGTTGTAGATTTCTACCTTCAATCATTTAACATTTGAAATTACAATCATTTTTTACTAAAATATATTGTTAAATGACTTATGTTTTAGAATTAAGATTTAGTGTATGTTAAAGCGAAACACCTGTTAAATATAGAAAATCCTCAGATTTTCCCAATTTTCGTGCATTTTTTTCATAATGAATAAAAATCAGTTGGAGATTCAGTTGGAAGGTAAATAGTTTGGATCACTAGTTTGTCGTTTATTGTGTTTATTCAATAGCACATTCTTACAGCTATATATAGAATTGAACTTAGAACTATTGGATATCACGATTAACAGTTTACCATTTAATAACAGAGTATAACATCAGTAACTCATTAGTTTTAAGTTTTATTCAATCCATAATTTAGAAAGACAATCACCCAGTTTTATCAGTGAAAGATTTCCTTTCATCAGTGTCATTACCTCTCTTCACGCTTTGAATAATGATAGTGAATTGGTGGGTTATTTTTTTTAATAATATCAATAGTCTTTTATTTATCGAGTGTGCAACATTCATTCTTTAATCTCAGTTATTGCCAAAGCAATTAGTTGTTTTTAGACGTATCGTCCTAATAATTAGACTTCATAGTGAATATTAGTTATGTACACTGGATTCTATTCTTATGAAATACACATTTTGATTGTTATTAAAACTAACCAAACAATACTTCAATATTTCAGACAAATTTCATTCAAAACTCTATCACAGTTTTTAATTTCGCACAGTTTTAAATTAGCGTTTAAACACCATATTTCATAAAGCTAACCATATTTCTCTTAGAATAGAAACCCTGACGATGTTGACCAGCCTGACAATAACACGAAGGCTGGAAAATAGGATAATGTCACTCAGTGGATATAAAATGAATTTGGTTTAGTTAGTAAACGTTATTTATTTATAATGTCCTCACCCCTTCATTTTTAATACACGACAATTGAGAGGAGTGGTGATAGTTTTTTAGTAAAGTTGAATAATGACTAATATAAGATTGGGATACAAGACATGCAAGTGATAAGTCGTAAATAAGACGAAATGCACATCCTGGATTGCACTACTGGTCATTTTCCAAACTCATTGGAAACTTGTGACGAAACAATAATATCAGGGCACATATGCCAAAACAGACTGACTAGTTGCAGTTCTCGACATCGAAATAAGGGGATATTCATAAAGTCATCAACATATTTGCAATAATGACTTCAGTATTTGAAAAATAATATAAGTTACTCAAACATTGAAACAAAACCAAACTAGAATAAACAACTTCCTTTACTGCGGAGAACTATGAGAAAATGTTTTAAGAGTACTTATTTATTGTCGCTTATATTACAGTAGATGTTAGTAAGTTCAGTAAGGATGTAGATATAAAATATATACCCGGTTCAATGAGTGTGTTGTTAAGATATAATTTCTGAATTTAAACACCAAACAATTATTGCATAAGTCCGATTTCAAATGGCCACTCAGACAAGAATTTTAGTATTAAGTGTAATAAGTGTCATGCCAACTAGTACTGGTTTACTGTTACATTCTGTTCGTATAGACTTTAACGTAATGAATTCATGATCAATTACAATAATTTATCAAATAAACCCTTTAGAGTATTACTTATTACGTTTTTAAGTAGCACAAAGTAAAATGGATAAAAACTATCATGCTGGAGAGTTATGAGTCCTTATCATTCATATATGTATGCCTAGAATAATAGCAATTACTGACTGTAAACATACTCCCAAAGAAAAAAGGATGACAGATGATATACAGAAGAGTAAAAAAGACAAGGTGAAGGTAATGAAAGGCGAATAAAAGGGAGGAAAGAAGCATATAAAAGGAGGACTTGGTCAAGATAATTGCAAACAAAGTGTAAAAGAGACAAATGTGTGTACTGTTTGTGTTTGCTTGTTTGTAATGGTGAAAAAACACAAGAAATTGGTCGGATCAAATTTCGTACTTAAACACAAACACACAACCAGACAATCATCTGAGGAAGAAGAAGAAAATGAATTAAATAACAAAGAAACAACACTCAAAAGAATTTAGATCACCCCATCGTTTTTGTATGTTTTCGGACAAAGGTAATCCTAGCAATGATAGTAATGATAATAAATTTAGGCAAAAAAACTCCATATGGATGAATGCGAAAAAATTTTTTCTCTTCCTATGGAAAAATAATAAATTCACTCTATAATCTACCTACCTACCTACCTAATTACATTGATAATTATGAAATAATTAGGAATTCTTCTCAAGAAAAATATAAGAACAAAAAAGCAATAGCAACATCAATATAATTCACAAGCTAAGAGGGAAAAAACGAGAATAAGACGAATGTTAAATTGATACAGAAAAATGAGTAAAGTCTAGTTTGTACAATTTGTTATGAGTTAGTAATTGTCTTATTCAACCATGCGAGAGAGATATAGGGGAAACAAGAAAATTGGATAAATGAGTTTATTTTATAAAGGAAATTATCATATACAACCATATATATATGAAGAGAATATACATATGTGTATGAACAAGGGTGAGTATTAACTAAAGAATAAGATTTTCTATAAACTGAATATGGGAGCTTTTAAGTTGAGTGATGGCCATCTTGAAAATTAAACAGCACTAAACTAACAGTTACCTCATAGTCTGGATATTCCTCAAAATTTTACACATAACCCCACATCATACTATTAACTGGTCGTCGTTGGAATATGAAAACGTCAGTTTAAAAGTGCTGTGTTCTCATTTAGACAAAGTTTTCCCGTTTTCAGTTCCCTAACTAGTCGTCAGTGCAGTTGAGTAAAGTATCACGAATATCTGTCCAGTGCTCCTAGGTTTGCGAAAATCTCGAAACTGAATCTCTTTAAGGTTTCCCTTCTTAGTATATTTTACTATAATTAGCATAAGAATTACTTACCTTTGGCAACTAATATGCTGTAATGTGTACTGTGTTGATTATGTGACGACAGAATTGATTAAAAGATTATGTAGTCTGACACACTTTATCATTTGACAGCGTAAAAATCACTTCTAGGTGACTTGATACAACTTGTCGTACTCAGAACGAAGTGACTGTTATTCATATCACTATTTTCATTGAAAAGTACGATTTCAGTTGGGATTTCTCTTCATTTCTACTTTTACTGTAATCCCATAATTAAGGCTTAAGGTTCTACACTGGTTGACCTATATACATAGCTTAAGTATAATTTTCTTCATCAAGTAACATCAGACAAGTAAAACCAGAGGCCACTAAACAGTTGTTAATTGTTTTCACTTTTGAGACTCTGAGCCAGCGTATACTCATTAACCCACCCAGAACTGGGCCGAATATGCGATCTTCAGGATATTTAACGAGCTCGGTTTTGTTCGATCACTGGATCAAAATCCAACAGTTCACATTTTTAATTCAATCACTTTTTGATATACAG